GAAGGACCAGCTCTCCCAAGCTTTTCTGACATGCAACACAAGGGCCATCCCCCACGCAGGCCAGCAAAGATCGCCCTCGGTTCGCCCGCTGCTGCTGAAGCAGAGGAAGTATCTGCCTCATAAGTATTTAGCTGCCAGGCTGCCTGCCAGCATGCTAGCTGCAGTAAACACTTCCAGACAGCAGCCTGGCTATAATTAAGAAACAGTAAAACGCACACCTAGAGAGGGCCAGGGCTACCACTTGAGATCAAAGACGGCCGGCCCTCAACGACAGGCTTTTAGATCAGGAAGCACTGGTTTGGAGAGCGTTTGATGTCGGGTTCTGTAGTCCTGCGTGTTTTGGACTTAGGCTGCAAACATGAGGAGGAACAAGAATCAGTGCTGCGAGGAACCAGGAGCAGGATAATCGAATGCAAACTTACTAAACAAACTCGATTCTGTTTCTCTCAATTTAACGTCCCACATTCTTACTTTTATTGTGGCGATTTTACAGTTTCCCGTTTATTTTGCTCTCTGGCGTGATGTAACACTGGGAATGAGAAGTTACAGTAAATGAGGTCATTGTGTAATAATGATGCCTGTAGAAACAAAAAGAGCAAGTATGTCTCAATAAGAGCCGTCTGAAATGCTTCAGTGGGAACATGCAACACTTCTGTTGTTTTACTGATTGGCCTGAAAACATGTCCAAGTCTCTCCCGCCTTCATCTCTATAGTATCGTGTAACACGGCACTTCTTCTGTTGTTGTAACCGAGCTGATGGCTGCAGCTCAGAGTGAGTCAAATCTTTCTGTTTTTCCAACAGTTTAGATCCTGGTAAAAGAAAATCAACAGATTTGGAACCCAGATGTGGCAACGGGGCATGTTATCTTGAAATGCTGGAAAGCTGGAATATAAGGGGATAACAGGATGCTGAAGATAAAGTTCCTACCCTCATCCGTGCCTACAGACGGAGGATAGAGATTGAAGAGATAAGATTATGGACAGAAGTGGTGAAAATGAGCTTTCTGGGCTCAGCTTTAGAGATGGGACGAAGAGCTGAGTCATTCAGGAGGAGCTCAGAGCTGAGCTGCTGCTCAACCACACTGAGAATGGCTGGCTGAGGTGGTTTGAACATCTCTGAGCATGGGATGGCTGAGGTGAGTTGGACACAGCATTCTGGACCAGGACACACTGGAGTGATTATGTTGCATCACCATAGACTGTTCTGGTGATCTCTGCTTAAACCGCGGCCCCTGCGACTGGATAAGCAGCAGATACTGGACGGACTAAAATGTATTGTCTGTTAAAGGAAACAATGAAGATTCGACCCAGTATTGTGCGTTATTTATGATGTTCATCTTTTTAATTACCTTTGATACTCTGACAGTAAAGCATGTGATCATAGAGCAGCAGCCGTCTAACATCTCCAGGCCCGACTCTCCTGCAAGGCTGGACTATAAATGTCTCGGGGGGGGGGAGACTCAGAGACACAGACTCTGCTGTGATGAACTGCTTCCTCCAGCTCCAATCAAAGGAAACGGCCAAATCCTGCAGCTCAGAGGATGAACTTAAAGGTCAGACTGGCTTTATCTTTGTCTTTAGACGTGCCCGTCGCTGCAGTCGGTTTATTTTTAGAGATTATGTTTAGAACTTCACAGAGAGTTCAGGAGCTTTTAAAGCATGCATAATTAATTTGGTGAAAATGATAACTACCAGGAAGAGGAAACAAAACCTGACTGCATATGTACTATTTTCTAATCGCAAAATTAAACATAGGGACTGGTCGTTTGCAATCACCATATTTAGAACCACAAAACAAAGCTTGGCCTTATTTTTGACCTCGATAATATCTTAAAATATTTAAAGTCACATATTTGTTGACAATTTACCATCGAGCATCTGACAGCCTGTCCACTCTTCCACCTGCCACACGCACTCATCATTATTCCTCCGTTTGCATTAACAGTCACACACACACACACACACACACACACACACACACACACACACACACACACACACGTCAACTAGAAAACAACTAATAATCTGAATATTTTTAAAGCAAATAAATATTACAGGGAAAACGGAGGGAATCTACAATACACATACACAATGTGAAATTATTTACATAAAAAACCAAAGAATGAGGGCAAAGCAGAAGCTACCAGGGTGTGTTAACAATGTTGCCTTGGCTACCTGTCCACCTTCATGATTCTCGTCGTGTCACTTGCTTTCTGCCAACTACATCCTATTTTTTTTATCTATCTATCTATCTATCTATCTATCTATCTATCTCTCCCTTCCCCGCTCCTTGGTGTTGTCAGCCAAAAGCCAAATATAGCAGCCCCGTCCCTATCAAATCCAAACATTGTTCTGGTTTAAATTTGGGTTTCTTCTGGTAACGCAGTCAAGCCAGTAATGAACAATCTCACTCAGTGTTTGCCATCAGAGGATTCAGGCACTGAAAGAAACGTACCCTTTTCACCTGAACGTTTCACTTCGGCGTGTATTAATGGACTCGGTCACTAGTTTCAAGTGTTACATAATAAATGAATGTCAGTCAAGCAGTAAACCCCCGCTTCATCAACCAGTTCACTGTAAATGGGAATATTATTTAGCAAATGTAGAAACCAGTTTGGCTGCCTGACCAGCAGCGTCTGCAGTTTTCAATCAGATCTAGCATGAACAAAAAACAAGATGACATCAGTCCTCAGCTCAAGGCTTCAGAATAACAGTTTACAGACAAACAGATGTCACAGATGGGAGTAGCCATCTTTTATATACAGTCTAAGTGAATGATCAGTGTTAAAGCCACATTCAGTTCTAAAGAAACCGTCTGAATTAAGCTCCTTTAAAATGCAGATGCAGACGGACAAAATGTAACTGTATTTAATACTACACCGACTCATCCTACTACTAAAAAACCAATAATAATAATAAACTTTGTGGGCAGCACGGCGGTTAGCACTGTTGCCTCACAGCAAGACGGTCCTGAGTTCAACTCCACCATCAGGCCGAGTTCTCTCCGGGTACTCCGGCTTCCTCCCACACTCCAAAGACATGCAGTTAGTGGGGACAGGTTAATTAGAAACTCCTGGTATGAATGGGTGAGTGAACGGTTGTCTGTCTGTGACACACTGGTGAACCCAGCCTCTCACCCTATGATTAACTTGTATCTTTGGTTTTAAGCTATACGGGCTGACGTTACAGAAGCTTAAAGAGGAACAAAGCTCCACAAACAGCTTTATGTTCTTTAGGCACAGACAAAGAGGGAAAAGAGCTTCAGCTGCACTTTGTTATGTGGGGAGAATTCAGATTTCAGGTTGGCTTTAACATGGAAATGATTCTGCGTCACAGTGACTCACTTCCTGCTGCTGCACTGTGACACAGTGTGAACTCATTACTTCATTATGCTCCACGATACAAAGACCGTAGTGACAGGAACATTTAGTTTGATGTCCAACAACAGAATCATTACTCTGAGCGACATTTATTATTTTACTGAATGCTGGTGATAACCCTGCATGTTTTTTACTGAACCATGTCACATTTTTCAAAGGCAAACCTACAATCTGAGGGGGCAGAAATTAAACTGCATCTCTATATACTTCCACCAAGGTCCGTAATTTGGCAGTAATACATGCAAATAGGTTGGAGTTGGCTGCCTGAATGTTAAAAAACATTTAAAATATTCCAGTTTTGAGGCTCACCAGAGGGCTTCATTTCTCCTTCAAAAAAGAACAATAAGGTCTTTGCTCCTAATTACTGTGATCGTGTTCGAGTGTGATGTGTTTTTAGTAGCTTTCGGGCAGCCGCAGCCTTTGGATATAAACAGCACAGTTAGTAATCGTCACAGCCGGCACCTGCTAACAAGTGTCCGCGCTCCTTAGCCTAGCCTTGCTTGCTTGTGTCTTCATCCCACACACCTCCACTGTCATCCAGAAATAGCACACAGTGACTCGTCTCTGTGACGCTGTAATTACTCATGCTGGTTGCTCAGGCTAGCTGCTATACAGGCATAATGTTGCTATGTTCACCATCTTGCTGTGGCAAATATTTTGGCCAAATATTGAGCCAAGATAAGTCGAGGGCTCAACACATTTATCACCATCTGTCATGCAGACAAGTGTGAAAATGTTTGAATTTGAGTTTAACGTTTCATGAGATGTTTAAAATGAAACTAAAGAGAGTTTGTCCCATCATATGTCAGAGATCGGTTGAGCCAGCTAGTGGAGGACTATGAAGCATGAGGATGTGAGAATATGTGATATAAAGCACAGCAAATCTAGTTTGACTCTCAGTGCATCGGATTTGTATTTGCATTTTGACCTTGTTACTTTCTGTTAGGAGCTTTGCTTTAACTTTGTCATGAATATATTTCCAACAGAGAGTCAGACCTACAGCACTACAAATGTTCACCATTAGCAGTAGAAATTCATTTTTATTTCAGTCTCCCCGGCTGAACAGCTCAGAAACTAAAAAGACACTACGAGCGCTGTCCATCACTCCCCCATCAGGAAGGTGATTTTTGGAGGACATTCTTTGTGTTGCTTTTCAAATCTCTGCAGTATTTCAACTACAGCTGAAGGAATCTGGGTTTGGCCTATTCTTTCCTTAAATGCAGAGATGCTCCGCTGGCCAACTCTAAGAGATTTTGGCTCTGGTCGTTGCCCAATGACTGTCCAAGTGTTTTATGAGGGGTGATAGGGAGGATGGGACTGCAGACTTTTAGAAAGGACAAAAGGAGCTCGTGCTTTATGTTGGGAAGAGGTTAGGAGGAAAATCCCTTCACGAATGCAATAGGAGACTACTCACCCGTAACAAACCTCTGTACAAAAAGTACAAAAAGCTATTACGTCCGCAAAAACAATGTGCTGTAAAAATGCCGAGCAGTGATGTAAAGGAATGCTACAGACATCCAAAATCCTTTGGTGTCAGTTGGTAAGGTCATGGCACTTTTGAAATGAAAAGGACTTTCATGGGGTGGGAAAGGAAGGAGTTTTACGGCCGAGGAAACTTACCAACCCATCGCAGTTGTTAATGGCAACCGAGGCCCCGGGGACGTCTGTGATGTCACCGGTAAAGGTGCAGTCTGTCTTGAGCAGCTCACGGCGCAGTATCCTCTCCGTGCCATTGGTGGATTCAGTCTGGTTGGCGCCCACGCTAGAATCGTTGCCAGCACTGCCGTTTCTGAATCCCGGGACCTCGTCGTGCCACTCCACCATCGCGCCAGGCGCCACCAGCCTGCTGTTCGGCCGCAGACGAAGGTGAAACTCCTTTCCGAAGGCAGTGATGTTGAAGAAAAGCCTCTGTTCGGTTTCACCGTTTTCAAGCACCTCCCTCTTAACACGCTGCTTGTGAGTGGCGGAGAGCAGGTGTGACAGGTAGTGTCCGTGGGAGTCGGTGCTGAAGGGGGTGACCAGGCCGTATTCTTTCAGCCGGCTCTTCAACTGGTCTGCAAAAAACCACAAGAACCCAGCAAAGTTAGTTTTTCCAAACAGCAATAAAACAATATCAAATTAGTCTTTTCCTCTAAACACATCAGTCAGCCAAGGCCTGATTATGCTGCCTGCTCTAATCATCCTTTTATCACTTTTAGCCAACTAATGTTCCTCTGAGACAGGACGAGCTTTGACATTCATGGCAAACCTTTAAGAACACTTGGACTTGATTTCCTGTCAGCTAACATTTGGACCTTCATTTTTCTGTCTCTGCCAACTCAAAAACAAAATATTGGACTAACTGATTCACCACGTTTACCTTCTTAGTCCAACGAGAGAGAACTAGGACACCACAGCTGAGAGCCAGACTGACTGAGCTAAAACTCTCTGAGACACATTATTAGGCCAACAGAAATGCTAATAGGACACTTGCATATTTATGTTGCATAGTTTCAAAGGCATCTAAGACCCGGATGGGAGTAAGCGTCAGTGTTGGGGTTATATTTTCTTTCACTTGGACGAGGATCCCTGACCCTGCTTTATGTCACGGGCAGAGCGACAAAATACTCTGAGAACAACAACAATGGGACAAACTTACAGCACCGGTGTCGTGTCTACAGTGGAACTATGAGCACACCTGATTCTGTGTTTAATCCTCACTATTCCCACATTTCATATCTCTGGGAAACACAGCTGACCTCACTGATTGTGAAACCTCCAGGATTGGCAGACGTTTTGAAACACCGCCGTCTGCGTGGATCGTATCCCTCCACGTTCTTTGGTTTCGATGTGTCACACCAATTTCAAATGATCAGTTTCCAGACGAAAACAAAGACATTCACCGTGGATAATGAACTACAGGCGCTGCTGAGCTCACGTCTAAACTCTGCTACTGTACTACTGCCTAAGTATTAGCTGTATCACAGCAGCAGGACTCTGTGTGGCTTCCCACGAGGCATATTCTGCTGTCCTGCTGCCACATGGATCAACACCAGAATATGTTATGTGTGATCTTGCATATGACACTGCACTGAAATATAGATGAGCCAGGTTTAAAGACGACCTGAGCAGCGTAGGTGTCGGTTACTACTGGGCTTGCTGCGAATTTCACGACGACTGGTGTTGCTTCGTACTCATTATGATTCTGATTCTGTCAGAAAACACTTATTTTCTCACCGTTGTTGCTCTTCTGCTGAGCTGTGCCGGCCTTCAACACAAAAAAATGTAACACCAGCACAAGCCAGTTTCATCTGTGCCATTGTTTTAACATATTGCTTTGTTTCACCCACTTCCTTGTTCATTGGCACATTTGTGGTCAACCCAAATGTACCAGAAAATCTGTGGGCTTTCTCAAACACTTTCAGATTTAGGAAAATTCCATCCGAGCTTGGTTTGCTTTTCCAAGAATCTTTGGTTGGAAAGAATCTAACAAGAATATTGAAAGCGTGTAATTATCTTGCTGCTTTTGACCAGGAAACATCAAACAGGTGTCAATGGGGAAGCTAAAATTACATATCTGAGGACGTGACTTCACACAATCACGGTGAGCATGCACGTGGATGCATGTGATGGCAAGAAAAGACTATTTTAGAAGCATTCAAAGCAAAGACTGCAGGTTTCATGACGCCAAAGCATGACAATGGTACCGATGGAGCACATGAAAGCATGGAGTCCAAGAGATGAGGCGAAAAAAAGCGTGAAAACTGTGGGTTTGAACTTAAAACAAACATCTAAATCCTTTTTTCCCCTCCCTGTTACATCATCCTGACATTACTATATCTGCAAAGCAAGGAAGGCACAGTTAGCTGCCCGATACTGAAATATTTGGAAAAAATTACATCAGTTGTACCGAGTACTACATATTTTTCCACAGAGTGCATTTAAGCAATGAAAAGACACAGAGCATCAAAAAGAAGCCAGAAATGTGTTCAGCTTGTTAGTGTGTGTTTAAAGAGCAGGCTTTCACTGCTGAGGAAGACGTCTAATATAAAGAGTCATTTGTCCCGCTTACAGGACTATGTTTTTAAAGCCATGCAGATTTTGATTTTAAGCACTGATTGGATATAAATCAACGTCTCTATCGATTAAACTTGTCGTGATATTTTCAGGTAACCACGCCCGTTTTGATGTTTGATGTAGTGCGTCGTTCCTGCTCAGGGTTCAGATCGTTTGCCTAAGACTACAAATCGCCCGCTGATATCACTGTTAATGTGTGCTACTACAAAGTCACACCTCACAGCTGCCGGGTCGCGGGAAACGTCTTAAACTGGAAATGTACAAAAAGGCTTTTAGCGCAAATATGACTGCGGTTAGCATGCTCCACAAAATGTAAACGCAAACAGAAAAAAAGAACAACTTGACTGCGGTTTGATGATGTGTCAAAAACAACCAGGTCCATATGTAGCACAAAGTCCGATTTCAACTGCAGCTATTTTTAATTGAGACATTAAACGGCAAATGTCTCTGGCTGTGAGTGTTTGATGGTGTATAATACTGTATATCTATACACAAGCTGACTGGTTTTCTTTAACAGTTAAAATAAAATTGAAATTAAAAGCAAAATAAAGCAAAATAAAACACATTTCTCAAGTAAAAAATGAGAAAAAAATGTTTGGCTTTTTGGAGCACTGTACTGGATCCAGACATTTACCAGCTAAAATAATCTTCTGCTGGGCAGGTATTCGGTTTTTAATTAAACACTCTTTTTGTTTCATTTAATGTGGAAAAAAAAGCATCGCTCTCACAGCAGCGATCAGACTTCGGGTCACCTTTCACTAACTTAGCATCCTCATTGGGTTGACAGAGTTTATTTATGCCTGCTTACACAGGCAGAGGCTGCATGACAGAAAAAAATAAAAACATCCTGTTGCATGTATTGTTCTCACTAAGTGATCATTTTACACATAATTACAGCTGTTGTCTGTGTGATGTGTTTTGTTGGAGTATCCCAGTATTCCCATTATTATCTGACAGAGCTCCATTTGCAGTGGAGAGTGTGAAAACTGAGATGTTCTGCTTAAAGGGAACATTTATATTAAGTTTACAGATTCAGGGCACAGATTCACTCTGGAACGATGAGGTAAGTGAACAGAGCTGCACATGTTAGACCCAAACAACTTGTACTAAATGAAAACAAAGTAAGACAAACATACTTCACAAGAAGCACGATTAGAATCACAGACTTTATACATAAAAGAGAGAAGTTTAAAGAAAAGAAACAAAAACATATACAGGTGTTTTACAAGGTCGTCTAACACGAAGGCTGTAGCTTTACTTACAAAAAGCACGAGTCCCAACAATACAAGTAAAAGATGAAATGCACTGAATGAATACAACCACACAGCACTACTCTCTCAAGTAGGGGTGCAAGGATACACAAAATTCACGGTTCGGTTCGATACTTTGGTGTCACGGTTCGATATTTTTTCGATACAAAAAAATGTTCATGCCTTTTTTAATTTGTCATTTATTAAAATTATAAATATATATTTTAACTCAAAAGTACAGTTTTTAAATTTAATGTTGCTGAAACAACAAAGTAATAAAAAATAAATCTATCTGATTGAGGAATCACTCATCTTTGGAAAAGAGAGTTTATTACAGAGAAATGGCTCTTTCAAAATAAAAGCTATACTATACGCTTCTTCTGGGCTATATTCTCAGCAGCATATTAAACATATCAGGTCCCCATAAGGAGAATCCTGTGCTAACGGCTGTCTAAATGACTCGGGTAAAGTTTGTAGCATGCTGCTTGTTGTTTTTGTCTGCTTCCACTTGTCTTTGCACTAGGATGATGTCGGAGTAAATGTGCAGTCATATTCGTTGTGTTCCCACTAGTGCTGTCAGCGTTAATCTCGTTGACGCCATAACGCGGCAAATCTCCGTTAACGAGCTACCGTGGATCGCCCCGTGCATGGGGCTGCACGTTAACGAGCTAACTGCGCTAACGCACTAGTTCCCACCCATGTAATTGAGCATTGCGTGGCACATCCAACATACTGTTTTACTTTTGTCCATGACGCGCTTACCTTCAGGGTCATACGTCACATGAAAACCAAAATAGTTCCAAAGCCAGATCTGAATGAGGGTGGGGGAGGTTCAATTTGCCATGTTGCAACGAGCTTAGCTTCTGTCTTGCTAGCTTGCGCTGCGCTCAGTGGATCTGCGCTCGACAGTGCAGCCTAGGCGGAGTAGTCGAACGCAGATCCACTGAGCGCTCAACACAGACAGCATCGTCAGAAGGAAAAGTTGATAAAATAAATTAAAAATTTTGTATTGTTCGATACATATGCGTACCGAACCGAAAGCACTGTATCGAACGGTTCAATATCGATACGAGTATTGTTGCACCCCTATTCTCAAGGGTTACCCACCAAAGACCTTCAAACACAAATCCCTCAGTGTCACAAAAGAGTCAGTTAAAATCCATTTTCTGATTTCTTTTCTGTCCTGTGTCCATTAACTTATATTCTCTCTGTCAGAGTGAAAAGTTCTGGCGACGATAGTACAGAAGCACAATGAATGCAAAAGAGCATCTATGAGGGGCCAGACCAGCTGCAACAGCAATGAGATACTGGAATACACTCCTGATCAAAAATATTATACCTCAGTGGCACTTTGACACATCAGCCAAAGCAATCGCTCTTCAAATTCAGCAGTTAATCCTAATTAAGCTCCATAATTCTGGTTTTCTGGATATAGTTATGTTGACTTTATCTTTGATTTCTCTCTTTTTTTCTGTCTCTTCTAGTCTTGTTTGCTATTTGGAGTTGAATGTGGAATTTTGAACCACAAGAAAATGTGCGTAACAAAAGCAAAGAGCGACGTTTGTAGCTTGGCGGTTAAGGGCCTGTGTGCAGACACTGAGCGATCTTTCAAGCTGACTTCCCAGTTAATCAGGGAAGATGGTCCCTCTGCTCTCAGTTATTCCATTTGCATTGCTGCTGAATGTTGTTTCTAAATGTTGCCTTTTCACAGGTTTGCTCTTGATGTGTGACAACATCAAATCCTGGCATTTAACTGAAAGGTTCGCCGACAGTGCTCATCTTATCCAACCACCACAAATATACATGTCACACAAACTTCTGCTGCAGTTGTCCATATAGAGCAAAACATGTACAAAGAAATACAAAGCACATGGGCAGCAGTTTCGTAAAGTTGAGCTCAGACATGCATTTGATCGACTGACTCTTCCAACAGAGGCTGATGAATCAAAACACAGAAATAAAACCTTAGTGGGAACCATCAGGAAAAAAACTGCCTTCAAATTCTCTACACAGAATGATACAGTGGTGCTTCAAGGTAACGACGAGTGACCACTCAAAAGAGAAAAATCGTGAAAAATGCCCGCTCCAGCTACATGTCTACCAAAGACTGGACATTTTAAAGGAAAAATTTAAATGGCTCTCTAACACAACATCACAGAGTTTGTTTCATAAAGGTGACATTCCTCCATCTGTCAGTGTCGACACTTTACTACCATAAAACACTTCGTACTATTTTTCCTTTAATTTGTCAGCGATATATGAGGTATTGTACACCTCAGACACTTGGCTCTGCTCATTGGCTGATGTATTACCTCAGTTTGTGAAACTGAACACAGAAAATTCAATCAATTGCCACTTCACAGATAAAGGCACTGTGCTAGAAATAAGCAGCTTTTGTCCTAAACTATGAAACACCAAAGAAAGATCCGGGTGCTTCAACAGCACCTTGAATATCACAGTTTACGTGAACTGGAAATGAACCAGTCTGTTCAAAGAGCAGTCTGACCGTATTTGAAAGCAAAGCAAGGAAACAAGGTTACCACAACAAGGATGGATGGAGTCAAGTGTTTCTGAACACATTTTTAGATCATCCATCTTTAACCCTTTACCTCTTGAAAGCCTGCTAGGAGTAATGCTCGAGGCTCTGGGAGGTTTCTGTCATATTTCAGCCTGCATTTAGAACAAAGTGAGGCCGGGCTCTGCCTGAAAACCCCCCAGAAACTATTCTAATGGTCATCAAACCACATCTTTATTATATACTGAATTTTAAAACTCATAAGAGTAAATGGCCTGTATTTGTATAGTGCTTTTCTAGTCCCTAAGGACCCTAAAGCGCTTTACACAACCAGTCATCCACACATTCACACACTGGTGATGGCAGCTACATTGTAGCCACAGCCACCCTGGGGCGCACTGACAGAGGCGAGGCTGCCGGACACTGGCGCCACCGGGCCCTCTGACCACCACCAGTAGGCAACGGGTGAAGTGTCTTGCCCAAGGACACAACGACCGAGACTGTCCAAGCCGGGGCTCGAACCGGCAACCTTCCGATTACAAGGCGAACTCCCAACTCTTGAGCCACGATCGCCACAAGCTGAGTACACAGGAGGTCGTCAAATGTCGCCTTTATGGGGGACAGAGTTAAAAGCATTATAGGCTGAAGAAATGAGCTGGAAAATTGCCTTTCACACGACCTCAAACTCACCAACCGCTGCTCAAAGAATTGTTGGACAATCCAATCAAAGGTTAGAAAGCTGTGGACTGGGCAGCACTGCCTTCAGATTCTCTACACAGAATGAAACAGTGGTGCTTCAAGGTAACGACGAGTGACCAATCAAAAGAGAGAAATCGTGAATAAATGAGATAAAAAAGTAAAACTGTACCGAGGCCTCACTCAATGGTATGAATGAATGTGACTCGTGTGCCGTGGCCTGTCCCAGCTACATTTCTACCAAAGACTGTGGAAAAAGTTAAAACGCTCTCTAGCACCATCACTGTAACACCACATCACAGGGTGTTTCATAGAGGTGCCATTCCTCCCCCCAGCAGTGTCGCCACCTTACTAAAACACTTTGGACTGATTTTTCAGTTGCCACCAGCTGATAGGCTCTGTGGTTAAAAACACGCCTTAGCATCAGCTGAGCCCTGACACATCCAGCTGCCAGACAAGAGCAAAGAAATAAGGAAATAACATATAAAAACCAAAACATTATTCACCTTAGAGTCATCAAATACACATTTGTGCAAATTTTCTTGATCCTTTTACTTTCTTTAGAGTCACCAAACCATCTAAACAGCATAAAATTGCTATAATTTGCTGTTGAGTCTGATGGAGCCTGTTCACAGGGAAATGCAGTGAGATGAGACAGACACACAATCAGCAACCCTGAATTTGTCAAACAGGCTCTTTTTCCATCCTTTTTGCTGACTGAAATGCTACCAGTAAATACATGAAGAATGTGACAACATGTTATCAGAGCACTGATGAACTATCATCGAAGAAGAAGGAGGAGGTAACAAGACTTTACCAAAGCACAGCTCTGATTTAGCTTTATGGCTTTGACCGCTGCAGCTTTAAGGTAGTGGAGCTGGACCAGGAGACAGCAGGTGACAGAAAGCTGAGGCTAAACTCACAGTGAGCTGCATAAAACTACAGTCAAGTGGGACAATTCTCTTCCATTGTTTATGTTTTCAAGCTTAAATCAAACTTTGCTCTTACTGTGGAGAAAAGTGGACTTTCTCATGAAGAAGATTCATTAAATGTTGATCAAGACATCGGCAAGAAATTTGGTGGAAGCAACAATTTATCTCATAATGCAAATTTCCAACTCTGTACTTTTACTCTTAAATTTTGCTAGAACAGCTTTGCAGCTTATTCGCGTTGCCCCGCCCCTCGGTCACCTGCTGGCTGCAATGAGACATTTTAGCCCCTCAGATGAGACGAACATACGATGGACATAATCACAACAAATGTTGGAACAGAGAGGTGAGGTGGGAATGTGAAACCATTTAGCACTCACACACAGGTGACATCATAGAGGTATTCCAAGGAAAGTAATGGATTACTAAATTACTCGTTACTTTCTGCTTTTTTGGTGTGTTTTTTCTTTCTTTCTATCCAAATAACTGAAGAAACTTTGTCACAAGAGTAACAACATAATTGTGCCGGTCATGTAATTACTGAATTTGTAATGCGATTACATTACAGTTATATAATTATGCTTTACACCCCGACACGTGCCTTGGTGATACTGGTTGCCAACAGCAAGGAGAGTTTGTTTTCAATCGTGGTTTAGCTCAGTTTAGGGATGAAATATTCCTTTTCACAACTCTAACCCTGCCTTTTGAGAAATTACAATCACAAGTGGATTTAAATGTGACGTCGAGGGATCCTGACCACGCAGCCATACGTGACAAGTTACAGCTGCCACTGCTGGATGCATTTAAAAGAGGCCAAAGGCAGCGTTTGATGCCCTGGGAATGAGGATGATCGTCAGGAGTTAACCATAAAACCAATCAGGGTCTGACCTTCACTAGGAAAGAATTTTATTTGCTTCATTATATTTCAGCAGAAATGACCTTTTGCTTGATGTCCTCCCCATGTTTACCTTCTGCTTCCCATCCCTTACAATTCAACCTGAGCTCACTCAGTTTTACAAATAGTAACAGAACCAACAGGAAAATCCACAAGATTTACTTTTTCATCTGTTATATGAGACCAGAGAAAATGAAATCTAAGCCAAAGAAATCTGCTTGTAAAAGTTACAGAAGTGGCAAATTAAGAAAGGCCTCGCCAAATGAGCAAGGAAACTGCTTTACAAGGCCGATAATGACCACATGGAGCAAACAGTGGCTCACTACAAGCAACGGGGAACCACAAATGCTCAGCCCGCCGTCAGCTGTCATCTTGCTGTGTGAGGGCCCCGGAGGCGTTCAGAAGATAAGGGCTGGTGTAAAAGGATCCTACGTGGACACTGCTGCAGCTCACTTGTTCCTTAACCTCAGAATGAATAACAGATGTTCAGGATCTCGAGGAGGAATTTTCTTTCCTGTATAACAAAGCCCTTGAAGCAGCTTGCTCATGCAATATAAGTGTGTATGTGTGATAGAGGACTCTGTGTGTAGGGTGCTAGGGGAGGGCGAGGGGGTATATTACAGAGCTCCTCACACACAAACTCCCCTCCCACTTTGATCTCAGTGAACCAAGTTGTCCTCATGAGTTTCTTCTCTGCCTGGGGAGAAACTCCTCTGCCTTTTTTCTACACACATCTAATTATTAACAAAACGAACACAAATAAAGCCAGACTTACCCTCTCTATCTACTTCACCAGCCTGTAAAAGAGAGAAAAAGAGCTCGTTAAATGCGGCACACGCCAGAAGGAAATGATAGATCAGAGTCTGAGATGTCCAGCGGTAACAACACAACAGCTCTGGAGTTTTCTGTGAGCCGCGCTGCTTGTAAAAAGTCCGAAAATACCTGTTTTACATCCAAAGGGCAAAACTCAGACGTCTGCAGTGTCAACGTGTGTTTCACAGAAGTGTTCAAGTTTACAGAGCCGAAAAGTTTAGAGCCTTGTAGTTGTGTCGTTCCACTTTTTCTCCGCTTTACAGCTGAATTCGTTTAATATTGACGGGATTCAGTCAAACTGCGCGTATTTATTTATTTATATGCGTAAAAGGAGGCAAAAGCGAAGCGGTGCAGACACTTACCTTGGCAGCTGAAGTCAGTCCTACAAGTAGTAAAGCTAGTGACAGGACAGCCATCACGAGTCTTAAATGACAAAGTACAAAAAACAAAAAACGTTATCCCAACGTGAAATTAAAATAAGGGGAAAAAGAGACAAAAATCTTTACGCAAACGTGACCCGGCTCATTCAAAACTTATCAAACTGGATGTGCGGCCAGTGCCTCGGTCTTAGGTAAAAATCAGAAAAAATAAGACGCAACATAAAGTAGTTAAAGTTTCATTAAAGCAGGAGTGAAGCGAGTTGCGACACTTTTGTCATTCAGTCAGTGTTTTTCTGATGACTGAGTTTCGTGAAAGTTTTGGTGAAGTTAGTAGGACACCCCTCTCTGCCGTGACCGGACAGAGCCGCAGTGTGTAGCTCTTGCAACCTGGCACCAGGCTCCGCTGGCTAATAAACGCAAGACCAGCCCTGTGTGACGTCACTATGTGAGTCCGAACACATGGAGGGACAGGAGGAGGAGGAGGAGGAGGATGAAGAACCCAACCCCCAAACCCCTCCCTCATCTCACCACACACAAGTGAGCGACTCAACAAACAACAAGAAACCTATGAACTCTAACGATGCCAGCAAAAATCCTGCGAAGAAGAATTACAGGCCAGCGCAGGATCAGGTATTTATTTAAAATCAATTTCTTGTTCTTTAGTGGCGCCTACCGTGGGTCACCGAGAACCCACGGAGGACCAGAGGAAACACGTGGAAGAAAGTAGTTGTATAAATAGATTCTCCTGATTGTTCTAATACGGATGGTATTAGATGAAAAGTGGCTCCAAAGTGGGGAAAAATACTCTTCACTTAGATAAACTGCTGCTTAAGTGATAACTTCAATTAAAACGACACATTGTGCAGGATCCTATTCATATTATTGGATTATAATTAATGACTTTCATGTGTGGAAAACGTCTAATACTGAATTATATATTCTGGATTTAGATTGTTTTAAAACTGTTGCAGTCCTTGGTTTAAATCCACTGACATGCATGCTTGGTTAATGGGCTGATTCACCCACCCACAGTGTGAGTGTGGATGTCAGTGGCTGTCCGTCTCTCTGTGTTAGTCCTGGCAGGTGTGCCCTGCCCTGCCTGTGACAGCTGGGATAGGCTCCAGGCCAACCGTGACTCTGGACTGGATTAGCAGAGAAAACTGCAGAGCAAAAAAAGCAACTAGAGCTTTAGAATAAATATTATGTTGTACAAAGTACAGCATATTCAACATTTCATGGAGTAGGATTTTTAAATAATGAACTATATGGACAGAGGTGTCGGGCCAAACCTTTTAATATTTGAGTGTTTTCAGTCCATTTTTCCACAGGAGGATGACACAAAGCGTACCCTCCTACACATCAGCTGCAAGTGATATCAGTGGAAGTGTTTAAGAACCACAGCGACTCAGACTCAGTGAAGTGGCAGATCGTGTAAAGTCACAGAGCAGGGTTGCTGAGAGACGTAGCGCATGACAGTCGCTCTGCTGATTCGATAGCTGCAGAATTCCAAACCTCCATCCATTTTCTCCTGGCTGTGACAGGAGAGAGGCATCCTGGACACGTCTGCATCAGAGTCAACACAAGGGGACAAACAACCATTCGCATCTATGTTCAATTTAAAGTCACATATTAACCTGACACCGTGCACGTTTTAGGAGGAAGCTGGATTATCCAGAGAGATACTGGGAGAACATACACACTCCACACAGAAAGGCTCCAGACTGGATTTGAACCAACGACCTTCTTGCTGTTGCTAAACACAGTACCTGCTCTGGCATAAACCTCAGCACACAAACTCTGCATCAGCAGCTTCATGGCATGGGTTTGCATGGAGAAGCAGTTTCTGTAGGTTTAATATGCAAGTGGCCAGTACTTTTGTCTGTATAGTATAAATACAAGTACTGTATAATAAAACTACATTTCTTATGTGCAAAGATATTGGGCAGTATGAGATTAACATTGGTGAGTGGGGCTCCACAGAACAGGGATGCAGAGTAACACAACTCAATGGACAGCCAAGTAGAGACTGGACCTTGGACAAATACAGCCAGAGGGATCACACCTGCTGGTTAGTGAAGTCTGGATATGGAGCCTTGAAATGATCTTAGTGTTCTGATAATAATGGTTTTCCATTCTAAAAAGCAGAATAATCAAAATGGACACAAAATGAAATTAAGTTTTATTTAATGTGACCCAGAATGAGTGACTGAGCCCATAAACTCATCAGGGCTCAGGGCCATTTTTCCTGTGCACTTCCATAGGACTGGAAATCTTTTTGCATCCATAGTTATTGCCTCCTAGTGGTTATTAACAGAGTCCACAGGTTTAAGGACTTTAGCTGGCTTCACTTTTCAGTTTTCTTTGAAGCTACAGCTGCATTTATAGTGTCTATAACCTGATTTGGTGGTGGTCAGAGGGCCCGGTGGCGCCAGTGTCCGGCAGCCTCGCCTCTGTCAGTGCGCCCCAGGGCAGCTGTGGCTACAATGTAGCTGCCATCACCAGTGTGTGAATGTGTGGATGACTGAATGTAGTGTAAAGCGCTATACAAATACAGGCCATTTACCATTTTTGTTTCTGAGAAAAATGAGATCCACATAAGAGACATTCGTTTTAAAATTTCATAGAACAGTAGCAGTAAAACGTCCTTGTAAGTGGATATCAGGCACTTGTAGAGCAAAATTGAGTATTTTGGTCTAGACATCCCAAAATGTGATGTCCACATATGTGGACGCCAGGTCCTAGGAGGTGAAGACATTCCTGCAGTTTAACTAATTGGTGTGTGTTATCTGGCTTCATGGACAGATAAAGGTGGCTGTCATCTGCATAGCAGTGAAAGTGTATCTTATGCCTCCTAATGATACTGCCTAGGGGAAGCATGCAATTCTCCTTTGTGTGTGAAGAAGACTCCACATTTTATGAAAAAGTGGAGTCTATTAGAATTTCTAAAAACTAAAAAAGTTTCACAAAGTATGTAAATGGTTCTAGTGCAGTGGTTCTTAACCTGGGTTCGATCGAACCCTAGGGGTTCGGTGAGTCGGATTTTAGGGGTTCAGCAGAGCCTCCGCCGTCACATGCATGGCTCATTTTGTGCACCAGTAAAAAACATATCTATGTCTTGAATTTGAAAAAAATCACATTTTATTTTTCACTAAAGAGGGGTTCAGTGAATGCACATATGAAACTGGTGGGGTTTGGTACCTCCAACAAGGTTAAGAACCACTGTTCTAGTGTGAAATGTCCAAGATGCTTTATTTTCCACACCATCACTGACAAGTGCTGTAACTGCTTACTGCCACCAGGGGGCACTCTCACAAACAACTGGCCAGCTTGTGCTGTTCTTTCAGAGAAGACTGAAGTTTGAACATACAAAGAGCTGAAGCAAAACAGAGCATTAGAGTGAAAGTGTCCACTGGAGGCGGTCTGTGACTTTTCATGCTCTTTGTTTGATATTTGATGTGTTTTTTGCAGTCTTTCTTCTACATCACAGGTGGGGAACTCCAGGCCTCGAGGGCCAGTGTCCTGCAGGTTTTGGATGTGTCCTTGATCCAACACAGCTGATTTAAATGGGTAAAATACCTCCTCAACATGTCCTGAAGTTCTCCAGAGGCCTGGAATGAACTAATCATGTGATTCTGGTGTGTTGACCCAGGGTGAGATCTAAAACCTGCAGGACACGGCCCCCGAGGTCTGGAGTTCGACACCCCTGTTCTACATTGTGAACTCCATTGTTAGTCCCTTTCCTGTTCTGGGTAATTGTTTAACCTATCAACATTCAGCATCTGCGTGGACCTACATGTGATTGGAGAACTCATCTGCATAGGTTAAAGCTTCATTCTGTGTAGTTGCAAACTGCAATAAGTATACACACATATAGTGTCATAATCCCCCCATTTGACCTGAGATGAGCTGTGAGCAAATTTCACCAAAGAAGGATTATAATCTTTCTTCTTTGTATGATTCACAACTCAAGTGAGTTTTGTTGGCAGTAAATAAGAAGTCAACATTAATTAATATAACAGATCATGTCTAACTGTAACCAGTCTTGTAACTCCTGAGACGAGGCCCCCACACCCAGGTACAGTGTGGTCAAACTGATTGTACCAACAGAAAGAACAATACTCCCCTGTTTTCCTAACATTAAACACATGGTTGGACAAAAGACCAAGACACAGAAGAGGTAACCAACTGTTAGAACTTCTGTGTTTGAGATGGAGTGACCAACCAAATGTAGGAAGATTAAAGTTAACAAACCAAACAAGGTTTTATTGGCCAATCCAAAAAGTCCAAAGAACAACGCTCCTCCTCATTTCTCAAACTGCACATCCTCAACTCTTCCTCTCAGCTCCTCAGCTCCAGTTTTAGTCCCTACCACTAATGATGAGGACAGAGGAGGTGAGGTAGAGACACAAGGAGCTGAGGGAGCAGCATTTAACTAAATAAGACATCGCTGCCTCAGGGTCTCATTTAAAGAGTCTGTTAGATATGACATGTGGCACAGCTACAAAGTAAAGCCACGACAAGAGAAACGGGAAAACCTTCAAAGTGAAACAAAGAAACACTGAAAAACTAAATATCAACTCAGACATGCAGACTGACGGTAAATGTGATGATGACAGAGACGGGAAACACAGAGAAAGGACAGTGACAGCTCCTGAGAACAAGCTGGGAGTCATGAGAAGAAAATTGTTGTGAAATTTCCACACTAATGAATAAAATGTGTTTTTGGGAAAATCAAATTGCTATGTTTTATTTTATCTAGTTTGTGCATTTGGCTATGATGCTGCATCTGGTAGTGTTAAAATATCCCAGCATTATGACAAAGGTATTTCTGAGAAGAGCACAGTTCCTCTATAAAAGCTCTGCTATAAAAGACGCAGCACTGCATCCATTATCTGGGTAGGGGGTGCACCAATATAACTGCAATAATATGAACTTTAATCTGCCTTTAATCCTCATCCTACTGACTGGGGTTCACATGGACACACAGGTATGTTTTTTCTTATGTCTCTCATTCTAATTTTTTGTCAGTCACTTTGCTCCTAATGGTACCACATGATTGTTTTCTGTACTTCTGCTTTAATTTGTTTGAGGTTTTTTATATTTTTTGCACTTTAAGAGGAACACATTAGCCTAAATGTCTCAGTCGAATATCAACTTACCAAGTAAGCATTGATAGGGAGCCCAAATTTGTAAGATAACCGTTAGATTTATAACAAATATAAATATTGATTAGCTTTAACTCAGCATGGCCTGTACTATTAGAACTCCAACATTCTGCAAATTACAACCCAAATGTAACAATGTAACACTGTGGAGCTCGAAGATGTGTTTTTATGCAGCAAATGTTACTGTAAGTATCCAGAGTCTGTTCTTGAGTAAAAGTCACTGCAGACTT